TTGCATTACAGTGTAATGAGAGAATACATATATTATAAGTATCAAGTAATACTTGAACAACTAAAGTAAAGATATAAGTGCAATAAAGAATTGTTAAAAATTGTAGAAAGTTTTAAAATTCTGAAAATTATTGAAATATATATTTCAATATTCTGTTAACCACATACAAGAAACTGTATTGTAAGAGCTTTGTCAGTACAAATTGTTACACTATATTTATTATAAATATCCGAAAGTACTAAAGTGTTATGTAGGTAAATAGGATTTTCCATTTAATATTGTTGCATAATTATAGTTTAACCCCTTGGCTGCCAACGAGATTTCCACTGTTTGGGCCAAAAGTGTGTTGAAAAAATTTTTAATGGATTTTTATGAAACTTGGTACCCTAAGGTTTCTGGGGTTGCTGATTACGAATCAGAGATCAGTTTTTCGAAATTCAAAATGGCGGATCCAAGATGGCGGAATTTTTTTCACAATTCATCGAATTTACTTGAAACTGGTTGCGTGGGGGTTTTAAGGGTCGCTGATTACGAATCTAACATTCGTTTTCCAAAATTCAAAATGGCGGATCCAATATGGTGGACGACAAAATAAAAAAATTAATTATAATGGCTTGAAACTGAATACTTGGGGTTTTTTAGGGTCGCTGATTACGAATCTGACATTAATTTTCCAAAATTCAAAATAGCTGATTCAATATGGCGGAAAATTTTTTAAAATTTATTTAATTTGTTTGAAACTGGTTAATCTGACATCAGTACACTCAAATCTCGCTATAACGACCTTCTCTATAACGAGCGCTCTCTATAACGAGGGCTCTGTCTCTCGGTATAGCGAGAAAAATTTCCTTCCTATTACCCCCACTATTTATAAACAAATGCACATTCTGTTGATTGAAATTTGGTTAAAATCACTTTTATTTATATCATAATGAGCATAAAAAGTCACTTCTTTTTTTAAATTATATCAATGAGTCGAACATCTTCAAAATTTTAGCTTATATAAATTTTCTGTACCTTGAAGTTCAAATTAAACTAGCTGGTGAATTTAATTTTTATAATTTATTAAATTTTTTATCTTCACGACCCCAGAATGTACCACGAGGAGGCTGCCATAGGATTTTACATTCCATTTTTTTATTTTTTAAAAATTTGTATACATTTTTTTTAATTTTATTTTTTTATAAAACAACGCGTCGTTGCATGTAGCTACGTAATACCAAAACCCCCAAGTAACTTTCAAGCCAATCCAATTAATTTTTTATTTTGTTGTCCACTATATTATTGTATCCGCCATTTTGAATTTTCAAAATCTGATACCAAATTCGTAATTAGCAACCTCAAAAACCCCCTTGTGACAAAATTAAACTCAATCTGTTAAGATTTTAAAAAATCGATCCGCCATATTGGATCCGCCATTTTGAATTTTTGAAATCTGACTCCAAATTCGTAATCAGCGACCCCAAAAACAGTAAACTATGCAGTTTGGTTGCAATAAAAATTTGCATTATAATTTTGGCCACTTTTTGTGCATCCTGGCCCACTGTGCAGTGGTCCAACCTCGACTATACTCCCCTATATGTATAACTTTTGTTTTACTTTGAATTTTGCAATAAAATTTTAGGAGAGTATTCTTGACACTATAAGAAATCCGAAAATAAAAAAAATAAAAAATCGACTTTTTTGACAATCAACGTAAGTTTGGCACCGTAATTATAATTTTATTTTTAAAAATTTCTTCGCAATATATCCAATTATTTTTATAAATCCCGTGTGCAAAAAGCCACGTTCGAGCCCCACAGCTTCGAGGCCCCCGTTGGGGGCCCACGTGGTAGATCCATGAGGAGAAATTCACGAGGGCACCAGCAGGGGCCCCGTTCTTTGCCCTTATGGTTGCCCTGCTAAAAAATTTATCTAAGTTTCAAAAAAAAAATTTTTTTATTAAAAAACTTAAGTTCAGATTGGATTAAATTACATTTCAAAGCACCTGAAATAAACATTGAGTGACATTTTTCCAGAAATCCTATCACAAAGTTATGGAAATTTACGAGGGCACCAGCAGGGCCCCTGCTCTTAGCCATTAAAAATGCCCTGCTCAACAATTTTTCTAAGTCCAAACAACGAATATTTTTTACAACAAAAAATTATTGTTTACAATCATTTTAAACAATGAAAAACACGTTTTTAACAAATATTTAATGTTACTTTTTAAAAAATATAAAACTCACATGAGGGCAAATCTTTGAGGGCCCACGCGAGGGGCCCGTGTGGATCGCCCACATCATTGATTATACCAAAAATTTCTAAGTCCAAACAAAAAATATTTTTTTACATAACAAAAATTAATGTTTATAATGATTTTAAACAATTAAAAACACGTTTTTAACAAATATTTAATGTTACTTTTTAAAAAATATAAAATTCACATAAGGGCAAATCCTTGAGGGCCACGCGAGGGGCCCTCATGGATTGCCCACATCATTAACTAGAAAAAATTTCTAAGTCCAAAAAAAAAATTTTTTTTATATAAAAAAATTAATGTTTATAATGATTTTAAACTATAAAAAACGCGTTTTTAACACAAATGTTTTGACATTTTTTTTTTTTTTTTGAAATGATAAAAATATTAATTTATGAATATTTATGGTCTATTACTATATTATTAATATTGTTATTATTATTATTAAACTATTTAATTATTTGTCATGATGTATTAGTGTCAATAAATAATTTATTGAATCATCAAGTCACGTACAATAAAACAATAATTTTCAAGTAGGTTCCGTAGCATAGTGGTAAGAGTGTTGTCTGGTAGTTAGTAGGTCGTAGGCTCAATTCCCGCATGAGTCAGATTTTTTTTTTTTGGTCACGATTTAATTAAAAAAAGTAAAAATTGTTAAATAAGAATGTTATTTATCAATAATTGGACTAATTTGTTATTAATAAATAATTAATTTATTAATTTATTAATTTAATTGAAAATAAAGTTGAGGGCATTTTATGAAATCCAATTTAATTCAATCAATGTCAATACATTTTAATAAAATAAAATTAATTAAATTTTCAATTATAATTATGAACAGACAAGATTATTTTTAAAAATTGAAAAAATTCATTGTTTAATTCAATTATTTTCCAAATTTTTAATTAAAATTATTAAAAAAAATATTATTTTCAAAAAATTTAAAGAAACTCGTCAAAAGAATTAAATTATTTATAAAACTTTAAAAAATTAACTGTTCGAAACGATTGTCTCATTTGATTAAAATTAGAAAATAAAATGGGAAACTCAATTTTTAAAAATTTCCATCCAATTTCAATTTTTACTAATGACTTATTTAAGTTCAAATAAAATTATTCACACTTTGCTTAAAACATTACAATGAATTAAATGTTTTCTAATTTGAATAGCAAAATGATGCATTTAGACTAAATTTTGATTATATTGCATATGCAAATCCTCCTTCAATATGAGTTGAAATGTTAAAAATTGTAATATTTAATATTTTTTTATTTTAAGGTACTACTACACTTTAGAAGGCTCTTAAAAGACCAAATTAAAAAAAAATTTCTTAGGTCTTTTATTATAAATATAAAAAAAAAATTTCGCCCTTTTTAGGGAGCATCTATAAATAACGTTACACGATTAGGGGAAGGGGGGTGGTTGAAAAATGCAACTGATTGCAACAAGGGGGAAGCTGGGTGATTTTGTAATGTAACGTTGCAAAATGTTTCTTAATATTATTATAAATTATTATTGTTGTGTAAATCATTATCAGAGTTAATTTTAATAAATAATAATAATATGAGAAATAAGAAAAATTACTTCATTAATCCAGAAAAAAATATAAATCTTATTTTTGGGGGTATAAGTCATTTTTGCAACGTTATATTTAGGGGGGGTGTTGGTAATTTGCAACCAAATGCAACGAAGGGGGGGTGGGGGTCAAAAAACCTGAAAATCAGTGTAACGTTATTTATGGATGATCCCTTAGTACATATTTGGAGAATAAAAATAATGGTTTGTTTTTAATTTTTATTTAATATCATAATCTGCAGACAGCAACCAGATCAAAACTCCAAAAAGTTAATTGTCCAATTGCGGACAGTTTATCTCAAGATTGACAAATCGGAAACAAAAAATCCAAACTGCTTTTTAAAAAGGAAGGTGTCAGTAGATTCAGAGATAAAGTGTCCGCAATTTGAAAAAACGTTATTTTGAGAAAAATACGTTTAAACCTTATATGTATCGGTAGAGGTCATCCATAAATTACCTAAAATTCTTTTGCAAATTGAAACCTCTCCACTTTTTTTATGTCAGACACTGTTACATACATTAGCACTAATGTTTCTACTGGTCGTAACAAAAAGCTGGACCCCACCATCCCCTTAAAGACTTACTTAATTTGTCAATGGCAAATTTAATTTATTTAAAAAAAAATAGTTAATTTGTCAATTATATTTATTGAATAATTTTTGAAAAATTTACTTTTATTTTTTACAATTGGTTATGAATCAAATATTAATGATTTTTATAAATTAAAAAAATCAGAAATGTAGGGCGTGCAGCCTGCAGGCACGCGGGTGCCTGTCAACTGGGGCGAGCCATATGGCTAACATTGGCGCGCACAAGTGCCTGCGTTCTAGCCTGCCCCTCGGTACTATCAATCGGCCCACGAGCTAAATCTGGGCTGGTTCAAATTGAGTAGCCTACGCTACTCAATTTGAAACGCAACAAAAATGAACCTCGTAGGTGGCGCAACGTTATATGGCGTTTAACATGGGCTCATTTTGAGTTGCAGCAAAAATGAGTCCAGGTTTTTTGTGTGCTGAGACAGATAACATATTCATGTCCCATTTTTTAAAATTTTCTAGAATACAGCACCAAATAGCGCCAACAAACTGGTTTGAAACTAACACAAGCGTAGGTACATTGTGATATCACGGCCCGACTGTATAAGTACATTTTTTAAAGTATTCATAAAGTAAAAAATAAATACCTGATAAAATGTCGACTACTAATCCAGGATTTCGAAACGAATGAAAATACATCATGTCTCCAAGACTACCGTCAGTTAAGGCTGGACTGAATATTGGAATTTTATTTTTAGCAGCCCAGTAACAAATTGAATTTGTATTGTTTATGTCTTTACCCAATTTTTCTATGATTTTAGATGGGGTCCATAACATTCCCTAAAACAAGATATGTTTACAATTAAGTAAAACTACATTTTTTCGTCTAAAGAATTGTCTAATGATATAAAAAATTAATTATACCAAATGAACCTTTCGCTCGAATAACGGCTTAAGTGTTTTTGAGGCATTTTGGAAAATCTTAAAATTAACACTAATTTATAAATTATAAGTAATTTAAAGCATTACTATTTAATTTAATAGGTTTTGCTTTAAACAATTCCAATCAAACATTATAATTTAGATGTTAATTAACAGGATGGTAAGCGAACGGTTCAAATAATACAATACAAAATAACTAGTTTCTAAAGACAGTACTCTTTATATGATATAAAAATAAATTCTTTTAAACATCCATTTCTACCTTTTCATTTTGCTCCTTTAACATTTCGTCAAATTTAGGCATAACCCAATCCTCAAAAAGACAATAATTATTATTAGGAACTAATAAATTTCCAATTCGATTAATTCCTTTATCTCTGAGTAATTTTCCATCTAATGTGAAGTCTCCTATGTACGTTGGTGCTAAGCATTTGATTAGGTCTTCTTCAACACCACCGGCAGTTGTTACAATACAATCAACCTATAAGCATAAAATTCCTAAAGAGCTTTACTTTTTTAGACTTACTCGAATTTACAATAATAGAGCCTCTTAATATAATATTATAAAAATTATAATACTACATACTAGTTTATGTTGAACTAGAAAACGTATCGTGTCCCGAATTCCACATGACGCCATGTTTGATGTGTATCCCAAGAAAATAGTACAAGAATTTTTTCTTTTAATAAACTCATCATCTTCAAATGAATCTATCTGTTCTTTATTCAAACCCACACTACGTGCGGTTAACATCTTCTGAATTTCTTCTACAGCTAAACCAAAATTAGTTGCTTGAAATCCTGATAGTGCATAACTTTTGAGAAGAGCATCGTAGTCAACACCAGAATTCCAATCAAATCCTGAAAATAAATAAATAACATTTTTGACAAAATTATGAAAATGAGACGAGAATATTACTTAAAATGTATCTCAACTATATAAATTATTTTATTCAAAACAAGTATGTAATCCCCGCTTTCTCGGTGCGTTTTTGAGACGCAAAGCCATGCTTTACCTCTCAAAACGCACCGAGTAACCGCGGATTACATTCTCGTTTTGTATAAAATGTCGTGTGTACCTCGGACGCACGCATTTCTCGTCCTCGCTTGTTTACAGTACTCGGCTTCGCCTCGTACTGCAAAATCAAGCTCGGACGAGAAACTTGCGCTTTGCGTCCTCGTTGCACAATGTACTATAATATATGTACTACGGAGCTTTGTGTCGCTGCGAGTCAGCCCCTATTTTTTCTTCTTTTTAATTTTAGACAGTTAAAATTTTTAATTATACAATATATATTATTTGAAAAATTTTAATTAATTTAGCCTAATTCCTTGAATTTGACGATCAGTGACCCCGAAAAGTTTGTGAGGAAATCAGAACGAGTCAAGGACGGCTTCCACTACAAGTTTTCAAGTGCAGCCTGGTCAAGGACATGCGGTGCCTGGAACGTACGTGAAGAAAAATAGTTGGACAGATTATATGTACTAAGTATTGGATAATGTATATCTATTTTTAATAGACTCTGGAGCGCGATCTAATTAGTTGGATAGTGCGATCAATTTTATTAGATCCTTAAAAGTTTGATATTTTAACCAATTCCAATATCTAGGAGAAACATTCTCTTAGTTACTTTGTCCAATTCTCTAGTGCACATTTACTTTCGAGTTGGTTAGCACATCTATTTTTCACTGGTAGAATATCTATCTTTTATTTAATAGGGGAAGTGCGCCGGTTGTAGGCACCCCTACGTAAACTTCGACGGCAAGCAGACTTTACTGATCTAAGTATTGCAAGTCGTGTTCGTTGACAATACGGACTTTTCGTATTGATAACGAAACAAATATATGCATTTGTGTAATAGCTGTGAGCATAATAAAGAAAATTTGCATTAAATTAATAAAAAAGTAATTTTGTATTGTTTTCGAAGAGCAACATATGGGTGTAGATTCGTTCAGAAAAAAGGGTTTAATTTTTTTTGCAGTGTTGTCATTATATTTTGTGATTTACCTTCGTGTTTAACCAAAATCCTGCATCACAAAATGTGTTGGTCTTTTTAAAAAATGACTGTCATTCCCGGTTGTGGGCACCTTTATGTTAAGGAGGCTCTACCATCTGACAATGATGTGGACTACTGTCTCATCTATCTAAACTTTCTGCCAAGGAAAGTGAAAGCCGCAAACTCCATTAAATGCGATGAATATATAGTCGTTCACATGCAAGCATTATGCTTTTGTTAGCGATGAGCATAGTGTAAAAACGTGTCATCATTTTTGTTCTTTATCCCGGCAAAGTCTCTTAAAATAAAGAAACTTTCATTTCTTCTTTATTTGTGTTGGTTTCCTTTAATATTTTTCCATTTTTAGCGGATTTTTCAAGGGTGCCCACAACCGGGTACAAAAATTTTTTGTCAAAAAATTTCCATTTCACTAAATTTCTAATAAAACTTTTTTATTTAAAGGGATAAATTTAATTCCTTCACTGACAGTCACCTTAGACCTCTAGCTTTAAATTAGTACACATATATTTGTATAATATGCACATGGACAAATGTTATGAGGCAAAAACAAAAGAGTGCCCACAACCGGAACACCTCCCTTAATATTGAATACTAGCTGTCGTACCCGTCTTCGACGGGTTTTAGTTTTTACCAATACATTTAACAGTGTGTCTACCAATCTGGAAAATCAGAAAGTAGCTCGGGAATTTAATTTGACCGGAAAAAAATAATAATTAGTTACCATTAGTTTTTTCAGTAGGAAAATATTACTATTTGAATCAGTGATTGACTTTTTATTATTATCAAATTAGTTATTTTAACCAATTCAAATGCAGAGAACAATATTTGTCAATTTGTAGTACTTTAATTAATGTATTAAAAATTTATCAATAATTTTCCACCCAGTTTTTGGAGTTATAGATAGTAGTCTAATTGGAACAAATTGTATCGCAAGTAGACCCTACGTTACGACTGATAAAACCTAACATAAGACCTATATTTTAGGCTGAAAGTAGAGCTTAAATTTTGACTTGAGTCTGTTTTCATAAATATTATACATCAATAAAAATTAAAGTAAAAAGCAATTTTTTAAAAGCGAATTAATATAATAAAACTTTTTCTTAATTTGATAGGAAAATTCTCGGTTCGGCATATTCCCAGCTTTTCCAGTTTTTCCCGTTTGGTAGATACCCTGTTAAATGTATTAGTAGAAACAGAAAACTGTCGAAGACGGGTACGACAGCTAGTAATATAATCTATATTTATATGAACTTAAAGAGTATTTTCATAAAAAAAGTAAATTTTTATAGCCATTTGTAGATTTATTTATGGATAAAATCAAGTAAATTTAAATTTGACAAAAAAAAGATAAACCGTGAAAAATTTGGACAAAGCATGAAAATTAAACAAAAATAGACACCGTGTTAACTTTTGTCTTTACATTGCTCAAAACATCTTTAAAAGTTGAATCTAGAGTTAAAATAAAAAAACGTTTTAACATATAAGTTTTTGCCTAGTGGCATAATATGCTTGTATTGTATGTATCACAGGTGACTTACAATTCTTGACATCCTGCAATATCATATTTTTGAAAATATTTTTATATTTACATCTTAGTTGTAGGATAGTTTTTTTTGCAAAATTATGCTAAAATAACATGTACCTAATACTCAAATATAGAAAGTTTAAAAGCAATCCATGAAAAAATGTAAAATTTTGAAATTTTCGATTTTTTGAAAACATTTTTATACTTACATATTAGTTATAGGACTTTATTTTTGCCAAATTATGCTAAAATGTGACTAAATAACATGTAATACTCAAGTATAGAAACTTTAAAAGCAATCCATAAAAAAATAAAAAATTTTGAAATTTTCGATTTTTTGAATTTTTTGAAAAAATTGAATATCTTATTTCGTTCTAATTAATATTTTTTAAATCTGTAAATTTAAAAACCTTCCTTGGGTCAATACCTAATAACCTACCAAGTTGGACTTAAATCGATTCTCATGTCATCTCTGATGATTATTAAAATAATTTACGATAAGATTTTAAAATTTTTAAAATAAAATTTCATTTTTAACAATGAATGTATCGATCGATTTTTTTCAAAAAATTTTGTGAGAAACTAGCACTAAATTAACCATTTTTAAGCCTTGTCCGGTCGTGGGCAAACGATGGGATCTATTTATTTAAAAAATTTAAATTTTTATATACGCAATGGTGGCCAATGACTAACTTGCCATTTGACAAAATCACACAAATTTTTCACAGCAAATGTGTTTTCAGACTGAGTCTCTCCAAACTTAACCTTCTTTCTGTGTGAAACTATGATTTGGTCAAATGACAAGTTAGGCCTACCGTTTTCACTGTGTGTATATAAAAATTAAAAATTTTTAAATAAATAGATCCCATCGTTTGCCGATGATCGAACGACAAGGCTTAAAAATTGTTAATTTAGTGCTAGTTTCTTACAAAAAATTTTGAAAAAATTGATCGATATACATACATTGTTAAAAATGAAATTTTATTTTAAAAATTTTAAAATCTTATCGTAAATTATTTTAAATTTTTTTAAAAATATTTTTATTAAAAACTACGCGTGAAAACAAAACTTTTCATTATAATAACGTCCAATTTGATCAATTTTTGATCGAGTCATATTTAAAACAAAAATTTACGTAAAAAACGTCATTTTTCAAAAATCTGTATCTCCTGAACCGCTTTATGAAAAAATTTGAAAAAAATCAAGGTAGCTCATTTCAAAGAGTAATAAAAGAAAAAAATGTTTAAAAAAAATTTGAGATGCAAAAGCAAAATAATTTCCGATTTGTCCTGGAATGACCCATATATAGATTATGTAAAATTTAACCCTCCGTCACACACCTAGGGAGGGATTCCCTCTACGGTTTCAGTATTTTTTAAATAACTTTTGTTTTCCTCATTGCAAAATAAAATCAGTTTCTATGGGGCGCATGATTATTCCCCAAATGTCATTTTTCCGAAATGTCATTTTACCGAACTGCATTTTTGCGAATACTCTTTTTTGCGAAAAGCCAATTTTGCGAAATGCCACTTTTGCGAATTGTCATTTTTTCGAAAAGCTATTTTTGCGAATTGTCATTTTTGCGAATCGCCATTTTTACGAATTGTCAATTTTCCGAAAAGTTATTTTTGCGAATCGCCATTTTTACGAATTGTAATTTTTTCGAAAAGTCATTTTTGCGAATTGTCATTTTTGAGAAATGGCATTTTTGCGAATTGTCACTTTTGCGAATCACCATTTTTACGAATTGCCATTTTTACGAATTGACATTTTTTCGAATTGTCATTTTTGAGAAATGTCATTTTTGCGAATTGTCACTTTTGCGAATCGCCATTTTTACGAATTGCCATTTTTATGAATTGTCATTTTTGCGAATAGTCATTTTTGCGAAAAGTTATTTTTACGAATTGTTATTTTTGCGAATTGCCATTTTTACGAATTGTCAATTTTCCGAAAAGTCATTTTTGCGAATCGACATTTTTACGAATTGTCAAATTTCCGAAAAGTCATTTTTGCGAATTGTCATTTTTGCGAAAAATACAATAGAAAACTTTTAGGTCTATAAATTCACTATTGTATTTTTCGCAAAAATGACAATTCGCAAAAATGACTTTTCGGAAAATTGACAATTCGTAAAAATGGCGATTCGCAAAAATGACTTTTCGGAAAATTGACAATTCGTAAAAATGGCCATTCGCAAAAATGACAATTCGCAAAAGTGACATTTCGCAAAATTGGCTTCTCGCAAAAATGACTATTCGCAAAAGTGCAGTTCGGTAAAATGACATTTCGGAAAAATGACATTTGGGGAATAATCA